TTCTGCCCCTGCACCATGAACGGGGAGTATGGGAGAGGCATAGAATACCTAGGAGGCTTAAAAAGTTGGTTAACATTTCATATGGTTTTTCATCACAGATTTTTTTTAAAGAATGGGAAAAGCTCTAAACATGATCAAAATATTATTCTCCTCTCCTGCTTAAACATGTATTATTATTCCGTAATGTATATGCAAGAATTTTTCTGTGTGATACTCAAGAATGTTTTTTAAGGCACAGCTGTTTATATTAAGAGAAAGAAAAAATATGCTGTTTTGACACATTTCTTTAAGTGAAAGAATTTATTTATATGAATTTTTCTAGTTGAATCAACAATATGAGGTTTCAAACAATGCTCTCCATTGAAGAAAAGTCATTACTGTAGTCTTTCTTTTCTTTTTTCCAGCGTAGTTGGATGAGGAAGACTTCCTTTCTGGCCACATGTTAGTATATAACAATAGCCAAGCAACTTAGCAATATTTTACTGCTGTTTCTTAGTAAAAGCACAGACTGCTGGTAAGGCTCTGACCAAGTATTTATAATTATGTTGCACTTGACTCGACAAATTGGCAGGAAGTTCCAAGGCATTTAAACACAAGAGAGAAACTTTTAACCAATGGCCGTGATTAAGAGCGCATTGCTGGGCGGGCACCGACCCTGCTGTGGTACGTGTGTCCTGACCTGGTGCTGTTTTCAGCTGCTTTCAGGGGGAAGACTAATCAGGAGGCTGACAGTGTGAAAGGCAGCGGAAGCTTTGTTTGTTTTTCAGCTTTAGCCGGCATGGTTTAAGTGGGTCGCGTCCAGAAGATGTAAATTCCTGCCGGATGCAATAATGCAATAAGCCATAGGTGTCAAGGAGCCTTGCTCAAGTGTTGACTTATTTGATAATGCTTTAAAAATTACATTTTTCATTACTGGCAATGGGATTGGGTGGGTTTTATCTTACAAGGAGACACGCAGAAGGATACAGTAGATGCTGATGTGGTGATAAAATTTTGTCAAAATGTAATTTCCTGCAGCTAAATCTTGTGACAGGTGCATCATATTTCTGAGTTCCCGAGTTATTCCCCAGTGATGTAACCAGAGAGAATGTATCACAGGAGCTTCGCCATTTGATATTTGCACAGCTCTTCTCTGAGGGAACATTTGGGGTTTTTTTTGTGTCCAAGTTATGTATGTTACAAATGAATTTTTGTATTTGTAAAACAGTGTAGCGATCGTCACCTGGTGTGGTTGATGGGAGTCTGTTGGAGTTGTGTATATAAAGGGCACCGAAGGTTTGTAAACCCTTGTCTTCCTTTTTAGTGCATAGCATAATCTTTATCATTGCATTTTTACTTGTCACTCAACACATGTTTGTTGAATAAAATGACTGCAGGAGCCTAGTATGAGTATTGCTTTAAAAAAAACCCCACAAATTCCTAAATTATGAAAATGTATGGTCTGCATCTCTGCTGCTGTTCCAGTGAGTTCTTTGTTCAAGCTCAGCCCTTCTCGATTGCATGTGTACAGAAGCGAGGATATTGGCAGATGAATCAAAGTCATGAAGCACATGCTAAGGTTTGTCCGTAATGGTATGAGAGTCCCTTTCCAGTAAAACTCATCAGAGCAATTGTGAACAGCTCTGTTTGGGAACTTTAGTTTTGGAGTCCTTTGGCTCCAGATAATAACTCTCTGGGAACGATTACCCAGCTAAATCAGCCCCTTTATTCACCATATTTGGCTCTCACAGCTTTTTGGCTGTCTCCAAAGATCAAATGGGCCCTCGGAGGGCCAAGACTGGCTGCTATAGTGACCATTCAAAAGCATGTACCCAAGGCTGAGAAGGCAGTCACAAGAAAGAAGTGGGCATCTGAGAAGGCATTCCAGAAATGCCCCGAATGATGGCTGTGCGATTGGAATAAGTACCACCCCGAGGTGGCTGGAGGGAAGGACAGTTCTCACGGAGGGGTGGCCGTTAGAAATTCGCGTCATCACCCTGTAGTGATACTTAATGTGTGTTTATACGCATGCACGCGCACACGCACACCCCTGTACAAAGATGCCTGGATGGGAACTTCAGGTATTCCTTGCAGCTTTTGTTGGACCTCTGTTGCCTGTTTTTGTTGCTCTCCACTCCCATTCCCTTCTCGTCAGGATCACCGCCCAGGTGCTGTCACTTTTGTGTGGACTCTTAAGTTGACAGCACCAGTAAGGTACCACTAGTGGCTGAGACATGTGTTGATCGGGATTCATGAGAAAGGCCTTGAAAAATAGGATGCTGAGACTTCGGAGGGAGGGTGTGTGTGTGCCTTCTATTCCCCCTGTTGGAATGTACATGCCTGTGGGAAATTTCGGGGGTCACTTGCAAGTGTCCCCAAGTGGCAGCTCTCCACACCTGGGGAAGCCGTAGCTCTTCCCCTTCCCATCGGACTCCCAGACTTCTCCCACCTGCATCCCTGCCAGTTGTCACATGCGATGACACAACTGGATGCGGCTTGTCATTCGGTCGTTTGGGAGGAGAGCCCAATATAAAAGTAACATGTGGCCTTCGTTTCACATTCAGCAGTTTGTTGGTCTCTGCCCTTGAATCGAGTGTGGCCTTCCCATCTCATTTCAGGCCCAGAGCCAGGGATCTGTGTTGGTTAAGCTGTATCTGCACAGCCTGGCAGGAACGTTCCGATAGATTGCAATATGAATTCGGGAGAAACTTGAAACCAGCTAAGAGATCTGCAGACCGTTCTGGGGTTGGGGGTTGAGAGGACGGGCTAGCCTTTCGCTTGCAGAAACCATGCAACGCCACTCTCATTTCTCTGGCCGGGAAGGGACATGCCGGGAGTGCTCTTGTGTTTTTGTGTGTTGTCTCCATGTCAGATCTTTATTTATAAGTAAATAAAGAAGCTGTTTGTTTACCTGTTGTTTAGGGACAGAGTGGATATTTTTAAATAATCAGAAATCTCCTCATAATACTAGAGTTCTCATGTGGTAAATTTTGTCTCACCTGAGGCATTATGTAAATAGCAAATACCATGCTAGTCATACCCTCCTTCAAGAGAGAGAGAGAGAGAGAGAAACGTCATAATGTTCAAGCTTTTCCCTGAGTGAGTTTTGGAGTCCATCACTGTCCTTGAAGCTGACATGGATTATCACTGAGCACTTTGATTATCCCACAAGGCATGCCCTTGTTGTCCCTGTACAGGTGTCCTGACCTGCCCAGGCTCTTCACCGTCTACCCTAGCCTGCACTTGTAGACTTAACTCGCTCTGCCTTTTTTCAGGTGCCTCCTGCTCCCACAAAGCCACGTTCTTCACTGGCTCCGCCCCCTGGCGGCACTCTTACCGCCCAGGGCCTCGTTTTATTAGGTGCTCTCAGTGGGCGTGTGCTTGGTCCCGGTCATTCCTTCAGCTCACACTTAGCGAGTACCCACCACGTGCTGGCCCCTGTGCTAAACTCTGGACGTGCAACACGGGAGCAGCGTAAACACAGCCCTGTTTCCACACCCCAACCTATGTGTTCTTCCAGACCAAGCCAGGTAGCTTCCCTTCTGTTCCTGGCTGGGAGTGTCCTTCCCCTCCTCCGCTCCTCTAGATCACAGGAGGCAGACACAGGCCTGCGGGCCGAATGCGGCCCTCCACCTTGTTCTGTCCGTCCAGGCACCTTGTTTCCACCCAGCGGCAGTGCCGAGCTCCTTGCCCCTAGTTAAGGAGTCCTTACATTTGTACAGTCCTAAAGTTACACCTAGCCCTTCGAAGGCAACCACGAGGCTGATGTGGCCCCCGGTGAAAGTGGGTTTGACGCCCCTGCTCTAGAGCTTTCTTCCGGTGTGTCTGTCATGGAAGTCACCCCTGTCCACTCTGCATTCTATCCATGAGCAGGAGCGCTCCTTCCTCTCTAGAATTTCTAGAAAGCTGGGCCTGCAGCAGAATTTGACTTTGTGTTCTCCATCCTATTTAATGCAGCCATTTGACTAATTCAGCATGTGTTTATTGACTAACTACTGTCCTCGGGACACTCTGTAGATACAGATATTTATAGAGAACTTTTAAATGATGAAAAAATAGACCTCAGAAGGACTCTCTTGCCCCGACTGGTGTGGCTCAGTTGGTTGGGTGTCCTCCCACAAAGCAAAAGGTCGCAGGTTTGATTCCCATTCAGGGCACATGCCTGGCTTTAGGGGTCGGTCCCCAGTCAGGGTGTGTGTAAAAGGCAACTGATCAATGTTTCTCTCTCACATCGACATTTTTCTACCTGTCTTTCTCCCTCCCTTCCCCTCTCTCTAAAAATGATTTTTAAAAAGACTCTAACGTTGATACTTGAGAGCCAAAGAGGCTTCAGGAGGTTGAGAAGGTGAGTTCCCCAGAAGGGGTCATGCCCCCTGAGAGCTGCCTTTTTGAATTGCATAAAAGAAACGGGCTTCTGCCAGAATAACATATTTCTAGTAGACCTAAATGGGAATCCTTTTTTAAAAAAAAATTAATTTAATGATTAACTTGGTCTGGTTTGCTTCGGCTTCCTTTTGTACCTGAAATTTTCATGTCAAGCAATGGCACATTAAAAACCAGTTTTAGGTTTTGTAATGTTAAGCCTTGCCACCGGAACCTCTATAATATGCAGGTGACTTTTAACCAGAAGCGGATTCGGCGTAGCCTGACTGTACACCCGCTTGTCCCGGTTTGTCATGGTGTGTCACCCGGCACCCGCAGTGACCAGTTTTGTCTGGGTCACGAGGACATCAAAGCGCCGCGTGTTTTTGCGTTGCGGAGCCTGTGAACCCTCTAAATCACATCGATTTGTTTGCTGACTTAATATTGACTATTTTGAGTTTGTGATTGCTTTGGGCTCTTGCATTTTGAAGGGAAAAAAAGAAGTCAAATACAGTCTGTTGATTTTATTTTAGCACACAGTACTGTTTGTGCCTGTGACTCCGGTTTATCTGATAGGCGCCCCCTTTTAAAGCCAAACCCTAACAAGTTGATTTTGAGATGGCTGTGTTGATGAATTCTTCCCTCTTTCTTTTTTCCAGAATGAAGACCTAAATGACCTCAGCGAATCCTCCTCTAACTCATGGGTACCCAGACTCGAACTATTTCATGATTCACAACCAGGACCTCACATCTCCCTCCTCAGTAGATGGTACGATGCACCCATTTCCGTTTGTTTACTTTACAAATCCTCAGGAGTCCGTTGACTGAACTGCATGTTCTTAATTGTGCCAAGCAAAAAAAGCACTGTGACACCAGGACAATGAGTCTGCATAAACGTCATTTTCAACCGTCAGGACTTAGCCGGCCACGTGAGCTGACCTGCCCACCACCACAGCAGGAGAGAATGAATGGGTTTCCTCTCCTTGCATCTACGAGATACATTTCATCTGCTGCTGCAACTGTGCGCAACGAAGCCTCGTTGTAAATTATTTCACACAAAATGGTTTGCGTTGGATGGAGAGAGTATTAAATATTTAACATAGGTTTTGATTTATATGTGTAATTTTTTAATTAAAATGTAACTTTTCTTACAGCGCACATCTTTTACCCTTTTTTTTTTTGTTTTTGGATGTAGAACTGAGGTATGCAATGTTCTGTTGTAAAGAGTGGAGCAAATGCTTAAAACAAGGTTAACAAGAGTAGACCGGGGTACGTACGACCCTTGTTTTAAGATTGTAATTCAGAAAAGTAATATAAGAGTCATAGTGCCATAGACGGTTCTCAATTGTATAGTTATATCTGCTGATACTGTCTCTTATAATATAGCCCTGGTGTTGAGCTGAGATCCTTACAAGCATTGATCTTAATTTTGTATTTTTCCTGTAAGGCGATAGGCCATGTTAATGGAACTGAAGGAGGGTAGAGTCAGTCTACTAGGTATTTTCAAGTGTCAGCTTATGATTGGCAACGGAATGGAAGCAAAGTTCTAAGAAGAGGAAATCGCAGTCTTCCATTTGTACATACTGTACAGCGAAGAAGACACACACGGGCGATCGCGTCACATCAAAAGCTGTCTTTGGAATGAACGATGTGGGTGTTTGTAAATTCTGGAGATTTCTTTCTATTCATAATAAACTAGAGACTGTTGATCTTTTCTTTCCCCCTCCCCCACTTCTGCCAGCCTCCCGCTGCATTGACCCTATCTCCTTCTGCCCACGCACCAGGATATTTTGTTCTCTGCACCGTCTCAAGAAAGATGGTGAGACAAATGGGTGCTTGTCTTTAACTTCTAACCAGGAATCAAAATTCCAGAAGGTGGTGGGGATTTTGTTGGTTTGTTTTTGTTTTTAAATCACGACCAGGGCTACATGTCACTTTCTTTAAGAGCTTGTCTCATGCTTTCTGAGAACTTCCCGTGTTCCATTACCTAACTGAATGTCATTTGGCCCCTTTGGGTGCTAGCCCATTAGTGATTAGTTAATAAAACTCAGTGTACAGCGAGCCCATCCAGGCTCCATGACCAGCTACTGAAATATCTAGCCAGCAGTGAAAATGTTAATCCCTTTCTTCTTTTGGGAAGTACTCACATCTTGGAATTTTTCCTTGTGAAAAAGAAGTGGCAATGAACGTACTCAAAAATACTGCCCACAGAGTTTTTTTAAGCCTTTTTACCAGGAGACTTCCTATAAGTTAAGTGAATCAACGCCAATATCAGGCTCGCTCTGCTGTCTGACGACTCTATATCAGAACTTTCCAGGGCTACTGTTGAAGGAGCAACATTTTATTTCTCTGCAGGGTTGTGCATCCTGGGAGGAGATGAGGCTGAAGGAAGGGACCAGGGTTGGAGGTGCATTGCAGTGGCTGCTGCCCCTTGTGTCCTGGCCGGGGAAGCCCTTTTCTGCTCAAAGGGAGTAGGGACACATGGCACCCCTGTCACTGCTGAGGCCGTGTTACTCTTGATTCGACCGGGTGGCGTGTGCTTCACAGGCTGTTGTGTAATGTTCATTGTTGCAGATTCTAATCATCTGCATGCTCATCAGTTTCTAAGATAAATAGGTCCGTAGTCATAAGAATCCATTGTTTTCAAGGAACTTGCTGGATTACATCATTTCCTGTTAGAAGAGAAGACTACCAATTTTAAAAAATCAGATCGGAAGGAATTTTTTAAAAATCTTTTATGAAAAACACTTTTTGTTGATCAAACAAAGTTCCATTTTTCAAGTATTCTGACTCATACTCTGGCTAGTAGTACAGAAGAGCAAGCTGTCCTGCACTCTGTCATCGAGGACTTAACGTAGCTAAACAAATCAGTGAACAAACTCAGCCCCAGTGAGTGTCCTGTAAAGCTGGTTGTTGTTACTCAAGGAATCTAAACTTTGAATGATTCTTACCAAGATACCTCTGTGCATGGAATGATCAGCGTGTATTGGATGAGAACAGGAATGAACAGACTGGAAAAATCCATCTCTTGGTTTTTATTTCTCTGATGTTTTGTTCAGCTACATAGCATAAGGGTAGAAATTCTTACGTAAGCTGCTTCTAGTGGTCCTCGAGCTGGGTTGGATGGTGGTCTCAAGCTTTCCTGATTTAAAACTGGAGGTTGCTGGTGTTTAGGGCAAAGAACTCATGCTCTGGCTCCATGAGGGGCTGATCCTGAGCAGCATCAGCTGCGAAGTCCTTGTGTTCGGTTCCTGTTGCGGAGACTTGACTTTCATCCATTTCAGTGTTCGTAGGCCCGCCAGGGGCTCCTGTTAGTGGGGATTCAGGGGGCCCCTGGTCAGCCTGTAAGTTAGTGGCTTTTTCTTCAGGAGACCAGCCTTTCACAGCATTCTTTTTTAGAGAATTAGGCAGAGTTAAAATTTTTCTTTAGTGGAAAGAACAACTATATTTCATGACTTTGATGGTATCTTTGTTATGGTTTTAAAGAACAGGTCCTAGAGGCAGCTGCAAGCGAGGAGAATCCGTTAATGATCAACTGCCTGAGTCAATAGTGACAGATCAGTACTGATGTTCCACTGGTGGCTGTTTCTTGGTACCTTTCAAAGGTCAGGGACTCTCTTGCCTAACCTAGGTTACCTGCAAAAATGGATTTACAAAAAGTCATCTAGCCAGAGGTGGAGATCTTTGACCTTTCCTTCCCTGGCAATTGTCTCCCAGCTAGCTGTCTTTTACATTTGAGACAGGGTGTTACAAAATGACCTTACTATACTGGAAGAAACCGAATCAGGCAATTCTGAAGCCCTGTTTTGTTCCCAGAGTCAACATGCCATGCGGTTGAAAGTTTTACTTCTATTTACCAGAGGTTGTTCAAAGACGGGGCAAGGGAGCTCACGGTTCACGGACACAAATGGGGCCGTGAACAATGGGAGACATGTGACGCGCTCCGACTGCTTTGGCAGAGCTCTGCGGGTCAGTCCAACACACCAGGCGGCGTTGGAGCCCCAGGCACCGTGGGAATGAAGACCTTGATGGGGAGAGCCAGCACCCTTTGGATGGCATGTGCAGGAGAATGGAGGGAAGCCAAAAATGAAATCGCTTCTTTGCAATGACTTGATGGGGGAGCTAAGGGTTCCTAGGATGACAGGAATGTTAGTCGGTGGCGAGGCTGCGTGCGTGCATGCGTACAGGCTGCTGAGAAGTGGCAGAGGGATATGGAGAAATGTGACCTGGCTGGAGCTAAGGCAAAGACCTCGCATCTGTGAGCTTAGTTGGGGAGAGCACAAACGACCTTCTCAGGGTCGGTAGAACATCAAGGGTTGAACACAGGTGCCTGTGGCCATTTCCCAGGCCAAGGCAGAGAAAACCTGGGAGGTCCTCCCATTAGCTCCACAATCGGTCTCCCGAGTGTAGGCAGAGAACGTGCGGCTCAGATGGCATGTCCTGGGTGTCCCTCACTCCTTGTTACTAGAACCCCAAGCGAGTGCCAGGAGGAGGTAGAAGGGTACTGAAGGTGTTGTACCCAACTCTTAAGGCATTTCAGTCATCAGGAGCTCATTATCAGCTTAGAAGATTAGAAAACGTGTGACTGAGCTGGAGAGTTGTCCCCCTCCCCTCGGTTGTGGATGAGTGGCTTTGGGGTGTTTATATCAAGTGATCTGGTGTTTCACACTTCTGCCATCCACCCTGATTTCAGTCTCTCTCTGCTTCACTGGTCCGCCGCTCCACCGTTAACCAGTGTGCCCCCTGATAGGGTACGTTCGGTGAACAGGGAGACTTGTCTGTATCGGTAGAGACATCTTTAGTGCGGTCTTCTTTTTTTTTTTTTTTAAACTCTTCTGTTGGATTAAAAATGTAGCTCCTGGAACAATTTTTCTCACAAAGCTCTTTACACCTCTTGGCTGCAGGGTGGGCCCAATGAAATACATATATATTTTTTCATTTAATGTATGTGCCGTTCGGTTTATCATCTAGGATGGTGATGCTGCCCAAGGTGCTACTTCATCTGTGTACAAAAGGACCAATGCATGGTCTGTATTGCTACCAAAACATTGATTGTATATATGTGTATACCATGTACTATGTATATATGTAATGGGTACCAGGCCGGGTATATATTTTTATTTAGAAGTGGTTCACTTTCCCAAGCTTTCTTTATAGTGTTATGCTTATTTTCAGTTTTTCTTCTCCCCTGATTCTGTCTGGTACTTAGAACTGTAGTGTCTTCATCGTTAATTAAAGAAAACTGTCTAAATGAATTCACGGGTGCGAGTGCTCATGATCCTTAATGTCTTTGGTTATGGGGCATAAAACACAAACCGCCAATTAAAATTTGCTGGGGCCTTTGATTGGGTCAAAGCAGTGTACATCACTTCACATACTTTAATAAATGGTTTTGGAGCAGATAGGTTGGCTTCATCCTGTTCCTCTTCTGGAAGCTTTCCATGGCCAACAGTGTACAAGAAAACGACTTCTGAAAATATGTTCGGCTACTTCAGTGGCGGGTGGTGCAGTGGGAAGAGGGAGGGGGAAGGGACAGGTGTTGTGTTGAGGCACCAGGACAGCTTTGCCGCCCTTCAGTGTGCACAGAAGTCCCAGAAGAGTCGGTCAGCCGTCGGCTGCCCCCGAGGGGCAGGGCCTGAGTTTCCAACCAGCTCCCAGGGCTCCCAAGCTGCTTGTCTGCCCGTGGCACTGAATAGCAAGGCTGGGGAACGGCATGTCTCAGCCCTGGCTACAGGTCGGCATCATCCGGGGAGCTGTGAAACAACTCAGGGGCCGGGCCAGGCCAGGTCCAGAAGTGCCGATTTGCTTTGTCTGGGATGGGGCCTGGGCATCTGTCATTGCTGTTGCTGCTGTTGCCTCCTATGCCCTCCAGAAGATTCTGGTGCAAGCTCAGGGCCGAGAACCACTGCTGGGAAGTGTTGCCCCAAACTGATCACTAGAGTCACTTACCAGAAATGCTGATTCCCTGAGCCGTCTGGGAATGCGTGTTTCTATAGAAGACTCTGATTTCTGTACTAGGGGAGCCTTTTAGGTCATTTTTCCACTAGAAGGGATAGGACACTTACACTTTTTTTCTTTTTATTGCATTTATCGGGGTGATGAAATTTGAAAATAATAAACCATGTTGGCAATATAGAAGCAGCCACTTCCCCACTCCTCCCAAATTGAGCTTTCTTGCCTAAACAATTTGGAAGTGATCATTGATGTGTCTTAAATTGTTCAGACAAACTCAAATGACTGAACATTTTGGAGAATCAAGATTTTTTTTTTATTTTTATTTATTTTTCGATGAACATCATGCCCCATTTTCTTCTCTACCCTAATTTGGTGCTTCAGGTGGAGTGACTTCCTGCTCCCTGGCATTAGAGATATTTTCACTGTTAAGGAGCGGCATATAACATGACTGAATAATGCTGATGTCATTATTTGACCTTCACTTTATATGAGCTTCTTCCATTTTCAGCCTTGGAAAAACAAAACACACACCTGATTTTTCCCGCCCAGCAGTATTCCAAAGCAAACACCATGTTAGCCTCTGTTGAAATGATACACAAACATCACTAATGAGTATTAATTTGAGAGTAGTCTAGTTGAATTAATGGTGTAATTTATGGCATAATTGTCCTGTTACCTTTATACATATACTGAAACCAGAGCAAGTAACATTGTGCATAAAAGGTCTGCAAGAATTTAATGGTCATCAAGAGTTGTAGTACTTCACTGATTCTATTACCACCGTCTGCGTTCATTCTAGGTCAGCTGCCAGCATACACATCAATGGGCTCAGGTTGTCCTTCCAGCATCCTAGAGGCAGAAACTCATTGTCCCTGCTTCCCGGATGTGCCAGCAGAGGAGAGGGTGCTACCTGTGGCCAAGTCTGGATTCTCACAGGCACACTGCAAGTCTCCAGTTTTTAAGCACTTAAAAAAAATTACGGTCTGTCCATGAAAAACTACTACTCCAGCTGTCTGCGCGTTATTCATTTGCTGAGCAAATAGGATGGATCTCACAGAGGCCTGGGAGTAAATCTCTGTCCACCTTGTAACTTCCGCCCTACCGAGTTACATTTATTTCTGTTCTTTATCTTTTTTGTCTAGTTCAGGTCATTTGTGTCCAAAGTCATGTTCTGGTTCCCTACTCCTCTGTTGTCTCAATCAGTGCCCCTCTTTTAGCAACGCAACAGAGAAAGTCAGCTTTATTTTAGGAACGCACAGGGCTGGGGTGGTGGGGCGAGGGGGGACGGATGGGAAAGCCTCGTGGGATCCACCTGCCTGTGTTTCTAAGTGTCAAGTTTTACATATTATCTCCCATAAACTCTTGGAAATCAGCACTTACATTATCCATTCAATGTGCTAATGACTAGATGAATGACCAAACCGGCAAAACACGTGGGTGGCGAGGAAGCCTGAGTTAGGAGCTGAACTGGAGACTGAGTCCCCACCCGAAGTGAAAGGGCTGCCAGGGCTCGCTGGGCCGGGATCTCCTCCCCACAGGAGAGGAAGAGGAGTCCTATGACCCTTTCAAGGTCCCTGGCTGGGTCTGATAATTAAACCGACAAACATATTCACAGGGGAGAAGCACCTAAATCTGTAGAATACCAAATTTACATGACACAAGAGCCTCATGAGGAAACGAACACCCCAAAATAGTTATTAGACCTGAGTGTTTTCACGCGAAGCTTGATGAAGAGGGAACACACGAGGACAAACTCCATCGACTAAGGAGCACGAGGTAAGTGTAGCCAACCCGGGGAGACTTAGCAAGCCGAGTTCCTCGGTCAGATTCTAGTCTGCATTTCCTTGTCTTTAGAGATAAGAAAGCTCCAGTCCTCCGGGTGTGTAGGGAAAGCGACTCTCACGGGAGGGTTTTATGACCTGTGTCTGGGAGCAGCGTGGGGAGAAGGTCACAGTGACCTCCTTCTGCTGTTTTCTCAAATCCCTTCAGCTGGAAATATTCAAAAGCCAAACGTACCGTACTCTGATGCAGCATTTCCTGAATACTGCCCCCATTGCTTCTCAAAGCTTGGACTGGGCACCAGCTGAACAGAATTTCCTGAAGGATTTACATGGGTTTTAACAGGAGCTTTAGGATACAACATTAGCAACACATTGTTCCTCCCTGCCCGCCCACAACAGCCCTTCTGTCTGGGATCACTCTACACCCGGACCCGGGGGAACACGTGAGAGGCATTCACACTCCCCCCACTCCCCCGGTGCTGCGTTGCTCCCGATCTCGGGCCCCACAGCCCCTCATTGTAAACATGAGGGGAGAGACGACACCTGTGAACTTCCTTGCTGCTCCTGAAACCATCTGTGTACCAGAAATCAGTCAAATTAAGTGTAAACTTATGTAGGAAAGAGCAGAAAAATAAGAGCATTAGGAAAATTGGCACTTACAAAATGATAGCACTATCATGATTCTATAAAACACAATCCCCCCCAATATTAAGAAGTGGTATGTCTGATGGCATTATGAATGACTTTCATCTTTTCTATTCTGCTGGAAGTTTTTAGGATGATCTTGTCTCGTTTTCATAATGAGAAAGAAAACAAAATATAAAAAACCACCAAGGGGGTTGGATGAGAAACTTAGTAAATCATATATCGCACCATTCCATGGTTGATAAATCAGGAGTTGGCCAGCTATGGCCTCTGAGCCAAAGTCAGCCCAGCTGCCTGTTTTTGTAAATAAAGTTTTATTGACACTGGGCTGCACTCAGGTATGTAAGGATAGTCTATGGCACACAACAGCAGAGTTAAGAGTAGCTGTTGCAAAAACCTATGGCCCCCAAAGTTAAGTACGTGTCGTGCTACCTAGTCCTTTATAGAAAATATTTGCTGGCACCCTAACTTCCAGAGAGATAGAGGTTTCTTACGGGAGGGAATTGGCAGGAGGCAAAGACCCTCGCCCCGGGCTTCTGAAATTCTGGACCTGCTAGAGGAGCGTCTTGGAGCTCTGTGCCCCTGTTCTCATGCTGTTGGACAGTTTACCATCTCCTCTTAATGAATTCCTGAGCGCTGACCATAGAAGAGCTAAAAGGACTTCTTCATGTTTTGTCTATAAACACCAAAGTACTTTTACAGTACAGCACATGGAGCTAAATTAGAGTACTAGATCTAAAATGAGGCTTTTTTTTTCTTGGTGCTTCAGTTACAGGTTGTCCTTTTCAAATAGAGGTTGGAGTTTCTCAAGCAATTCCAAAGGAAGTTTAGAGTAGACTGGGGCGTCCATAACCGTGGGGTCTCGACCGGTAGCAGAGACATGGATGGGGACCCGTGTCCAGGCTCCTTTGCTCCTTGTCCTCACCTGCGGAGCTGGGAATAAACATCCGTGCCACGAACACACACTCAGGTCACACACATAACACCTGCTGACCTGTGAGACCAAGATGAAAGATTTGAGGATAATTGGATTAAAAAAGAACCACGGTTCTAAATTGAATCATTAGGGAGTCAGTTCCTTCTTTTTTTTTACAACATAAAACCCCCATGTGCTCTCCTCTATCACACCCTCAGTCTTACTGAGGAACTACTGGGTGCTGGTGTGAGAGACCCAGCACAGTGATACAGTCCCCGCCTCCTGTTCTCAGTCATCTCAGATCTCTACCTGTCTGGACCACTTGTATACAAGGAAATCGGATTCTAGTTTCACCCCCATTTAACATGACCATAGAATTATGTATATGCCAGGTTGATTTAAATGGATTCTGAAATTGCTTTCATGCCCACCTCCCAGAGAGTCTGGGCATAGTCTCATGGGCTCAGTATTCAGAGTGTGAAGCGGGCGCACAAATCTGAAGTCATGCCCTGACCTAGGGGGTTGCTGAAGTCAATCTGGGTAGCCAGTAAGGTGGAGGGGGGCAGGTGCAGCCCTAAAACAGGGAAAGCGACAGAACCAGAAAATAGAATGGGGTCAGTCAGAGCATCAGGTGGGAAAGGGCCCCCTCAGCGGACTTTCAAAGAGGCCACAAGGAATGGTAGAATCGCCAAGCGTTAGTGCTGGATGGAATCCTTTGTTTATCATGGGGTGCATTTTCTTTTTTCCCTTTAACACCCAGGAACCAAAGTCCCTGGTCTCCTGCCCATGAGTTCAGAACTCCTCCTGGACCAGATAGAGGGAAACCCAAGTAACACCCACAACTCATGTCTATCTAAGCGTTTTGCTACATGCCTGTCGCTGGTCATAAATCAGCTCTTGTGCCCACAAAACCCTTCATCCCAAAGGTTTGTAGATATTACACCATTTGACCCAGGAC